AATTTTTTTTTCCTGAAGTATATCTGAAGTTTAGTGAGGATCTGATGGTGAGACACACTTTTTTTTTTTTTTTTAATGTATCTTGCTCTGTTGCTCTGGTCTTGAACTTCTAGGCTAAAGTGTTGTTTGGTGGGCCCGAGCTGGGGATTCGAACCTGCCACCTTAGGTGTATGTGGCTGGTGCCTTAGCTGCTTGAGCCACAGGCGCCGAGCCCTGGCCCAGACTTGAAAGTTACTCAGTGTCACTTCTATTGCATTCACTTGGTTATATGAGTGAGTCACTAAAGTTGGTCCAGAATCAAAGAGATGTAATAAAGAGCCCCTGCTGCTCAATAGCAGGGATATTGAGGAATTAACATGTTTTAAACCTCCCAACTCAGAATATGGAATTTTCCTAAGTTTTTCCATGTGTACTTGGGAATATGTACTCTTGATTACAAAGTTTTGCATATGCCCATTAATTTAAGTGTGTCAATTCTATAGTTGTACTCTGTATTCTTACTGCTATCCTACTTGCTAGCTTAGTTGTTGTTGTCTGCCTATCTAATCAGTTGTTTTGATCAATTATTGAGAAGTAATACTTTTTTGTATTTCAAAGCTAGTTGTTAGGTGTATATAGGTCCAGAATTGTTTTATCTTGCTGCTGAATTGAGTCTTTTATCAATAGATGGTGAACTTTTTTCACATCTTGTAATGACTTCTGCCTAAAGATGACTGTATCTGATAATGATTTAGCTTCACTATCTTTCTTCTGTGAAATATTTGCTTGATATATCTTTATTTTACTTTCCACAATCCTTTTTCTTTTAGAGACAGAGTCTCACTTTGTCGCCCACGGTAGAGTACCCAGGCGTCAGAGTTCACAGCAACCTCCAGCTCTTGGGCTTAGGCGATTCTCTTGCCTCAGCCTCCTGAGTAGCTGGGACTACAGGTGCCTGCTACAACACCCAGCTATTTTTTGATTGCAGTTTGGCCAGGGCCAGGTTTGAACCCACCACCCTCAGTATATGGAGCTGGTACCCTATTCACTAAGCCACATGCGCTACCCCATAATCCTTTTTCTTTACATTTTAAGTATGTGTCTTATATACAAGCATATACCTTGAATTTTATATTTTATCTAAATATATTAGCACACTTCTTTTTTTTTTTTTTCTTTTGAGAAAGAATCTCAAGCTGTCACCCAGATTAGAGTACTGTGGCGTCAAAGCTCATAGCAACCACAAACTCTTGGGCTTAAGTGATTCTCTTGCCTCAGCCTCCCAAGTAGCTGGGACTATAGGTGTCCACCACAATGTCTGGTTATTTTTTGTTGCAGTTTGGCCAGGGCTGGATTCAAACCCACCACCTTTGGTATATGGGGCCGGTGCCCTACCCACTGAGTCACAGGCACTGCCCTACATGTTGGTTTTTTAAATCTCTCAAATCAAACATGTAGTATTTATTTAGATTTATCCACATGTTTAACCTTTGTCTATTATTCTTTTTTTTGAGACAGAGTCTCACTTTGTTGCACTTGGTAGAGTGCCATGGCATCAGAGCTCACAGCAACTTCAAACTCATGGGCTCAAGCAGTTCTCTTGTCTCAACCTCCGAAATAGCTGGGGCTACAGGTGCCTGCCACAATGCTTGGCTTTTTTTTAGAGATGGGGTCTTGCACTTATTCAGGCTGGTCTCGAACCTGTGCACTTACACAATCCACCTGCCTCAGCCTGCCAGAGTGCTAGGATTATTTTTGTCTACTATTTCTTGAATCTTAGGCTTTTCATTGAAAATAATTTTTTTTTCCTGAAGTATATCTGAAGTTTAGTGAGGATCTGATGGTGAGACACACTTTTTTTTTTTTTAAATGTATCTTGCTCTGT